CTGTAGAACAAACTGAACTTGTATAAGTTCTGTTACGTCCCAGTTCTGTGACCAATCTAAGCTTCGGTTTCTTCATCTGAAAAATGGGTATAAATAATAGAACTGACCTCATAGGATAATTAGGAAAATCAGATGAGATAACCTATGTCAAGGGCTTCACACAGAGCCCAGCACGTAGCAAATGCTTAAGTAGTATCAGGCACCCAGTATATGATACTCAGAACCCTGAAAGAGCAGCAAGGACTGACTGGGAGTCTGCAGACTTGGGTCCCAGCCCCAAATCTGCCACCAAGTTACCGTGTGACCTTGGGGCATTGCTTTCCCTTTGTGAGCCTGTTTTCTCATCAGTAAAATAAAGGAGAACAGGGAGTGGGAAAAGGAAGCCTATCTGGTCCCTCCTGGCTCATCCAAACCTGACTCTCTAGAATAGATTTGAAAGGGGGATTCAGTTCATTCTTAGGGATGTTTCTGAGAGTGTTACATACTTCCAGTGATATCCAGTTTTCTGAGACCAGGGGGTCCTGCCTCAGTCACAAGTCCCAGTAAAGCGCCCCCAGGTTCCAGTTCTTTCTAGCTTCTAATAGGAGGTAATTTCCTGTCCATGAGGTTTTGGGGTATATAATAGCATTCCCTATGCAACTTAATAGCCTTTTAAAATTGTTTAGCAGAAACTGCTCTTTAGAGAAGCAATTCTCTTGAGTCTGTGCCTGCTAGGAGCAGGGGAAGGGCCCAGCACCATGGGGTGGGGGGTTGGCGGGGAGGTGTCTCAAGCTCAGTGTCATTGGGTCTTCATGAATCAGAGGCATGAAATGGGTGTCAGAGAGCTGCGCTGATTGGAGCTGCCTTCTGTCCTCCAAGAATTTGCAGCCTGGTCAGTGACCTGCCAGGTCACACAAAGTCCATGGACAGGATGGAAGATGGAAGGAGAGACAGACTGTGGGCTGTGAGGGCACCTGAGCAGGGAGAGGTCACTCACAACCAAAAGTGCAGGGAGGGCTTCCCTGGTGGCGCAGTGGTTGAGGGTCCGCCTGCCGATGCAGGGGACATGGTTTCATGTCCCGGTCCGGGAAGATCCCGCATGCCGTGGAGCGGCTGGGCCCGTGAGCCATGGCCGCTGAGCCTGCGCGTCCGGAGCCTGTGCTCCGCAACTGGAGAGGCCACAGCAGTGAGAGGCCCACGTACCGCAAAAAAAAAAAAAAAAAAAGTGCAGGGAGAGCTTCCTGAAGGTGGTGGCATTTAGACTGTGGCATTTGGACTATGGCATAAAGGATCAGTAGGCAGTTTTTTTCCTATACATTTTGTCCTTTCAACTAGAGCCCATTTTTTTAGACTGTCTAGATTCTTAGGCGAGCAGACCCCCCCCAGAGGAGAGAAACAGTTGGACATCTGGCAGAGGCCGACTTATAGACCCCTCTTTGTAGCACTCACCAAAGGGCCCTCCCCCCAGCAGACATCAATGCTTCAATTCAGGGAGCGCTGAACGATGCCTGCTGTGGCCCAGACCCTGGGCTGGGCGTGGGGGGCCCAGATGTATCCTGCTCAGCCTCTGCCCTCAGGGAACTCTCAGAGAAGAGCTTCATGAACAAAGAAAGCCAGATGAACATTGGCAAGGGCCAGGGGACTGGAGCAGCCAGCCTCCCCAGGGTCAGAGGCAGGGTGCAAATCCGCCCCCACACCCCGTAAGAGTAAAGAGCAGGTTGTGTTCCATTGCCACTGTAGGCATCTGCCTGGTGGCAGTGTCCTGCCCCATATATGGGAATCACCCTTAGAGCTCCTATCTGAACACAGCCCCCTGACACATGTGGGTCCAAACTGAGAATAGTCTCCCCCCTCCCTCTGCAAAAATTTAATGAGCACCTGCCACGTCAGGCACTGGGTCAGGGTCTGTGGGTCATTTAAGGCACAAGGGGTCCCTAGCCAGGATTCTGGGGTGGCCTCTTGGGGGAGGGGCAGCTTTCCAGGTGGTCTGGCTGCTGGTCCTGACTGCCCTCAGCGCTCACCCTCACTTCCTTTTTGGGAACTCTGCCGAGGAGCCCTTGCAGGTGACCCCGCTCATTTTCCATCAGCCAAAGGCAGAATCACAATGTCTCCAACGAAGGGCTCTCAGAGAGCACTGAGCCCACGGAGCAGATCTCGGGGGTCAACGTATCTTCTCTGGGTCCATGAAAATCTGCCTTATTTTCAGACTCTCAAACAAGAATCTCTCACACCCTCTCCCAATGTCAGGGCCAGATCCCAGCCTGGAAGAGAGCTAGCTCTGGCTGAGCTCTTGGGAGCTTTAAGGCTAAGGGGACTGGAGGGCTATTCAGACAGACAGGAAATAGGAATCAGGAGGGAAAACAATGTTGATTTTGAAGCCAGAAGATGTGGATTCCCATGCTGGCTTTGCTCCTCAGCAGCTGCGTAGGCTGGGCAAGCTGCCTTACCTCCCCAGTGCCCAGCATCCTCATCTGTAAAGTGGGGCTTCCCCTCAAAGGAGGGAAGTATATGTAGGGATGCCGAGAAAGCTGTGAAGTGAGGTTTGCCTGTGGGATACGGGAGTGGGGGGAGAGGGATAACACCGCAGAGACCCAGGAGAGTGGAAAAAGGGTGGCTGAGCTGCCATGCTCTGAAAGGGGTGTGTCAGCCTCCAACAGATGGTCCCTGAGGAGGAATCAGGCTGAGAGGCAGTGACGTGAGCAGTGGTAACCCAATACCCCAGGAGACACCTTATCCAAGCTGCGGGGACAAAGGCCGTGTTTCTTAGTAGACCTTGGCCCTTGTGGCTTGTCCATACTGAAGCTTTGTAAACAAGCTGCCCTACAGATCTCAGGATCTGGCCACCTGAGCCCTGGATCTAGCTTGCTGACCCATCCCTCCCACGAGCTTTCATAGGCCTCTTACATTCTTGTCCAGATGTTTGGATGGAGATATCCTTTTCCAGATGTAGCTTGATGAAGCCAGGGACATAGCAGTAGGTTTGACGAATGTTGATCTGGTCTCCCATGCAACCTTATCTCTTTAAGCCGTTGATGAAAATGATCCAACCTCTAGTGCCAAGAGGGTCGTCACGTGGGCTGGGACCCTCCCAGTGAGCCACACATGCCCCCATCCCACAAAGGTCTCAGACATAGATTTTTTTTCTTTTAATATTTGTTTATTTATTTGGCTGCGTCAGGTCTTAGTTGAGGCACGCGGGATCTTGGTTGAGGCCTGCGGGTTCTTTCGTTGCAGCACACGGGCTTCTCTTTAGCTGTGGCATGCGGGTTTTTCTCTCTCTAGTTGTGTAGTGTGGGCTCCAGGGTGCGTGGGCTCTGTAGTTTGCAGCGCGTGGGCTCTCTCGTTGAGGCGCACAAGCTCAGTAGTTGTGGCGCGCAGGCTTAGTTGCCCCGAGGCATGTGGGATCTTAGTTCCCCAACCAGGGATCGAACCCGCATCCCCTGCATTGGAAAGCGGATTCTTTACCACTGGACCGCCAGGGAAGTCCCAAGACATAGATTTTATGGTCTCACTTCTGTGTTCTCCGGTGATGCCAAAGACGAGGGCAGGAGGAGGAGCTCAACCACGAACTCTGTCATGTCACTTGCTGAGTACTGGGTACAGCTGTGAATGAGACAGATATGGTTCATGGCCTCATGGAACTTACAGACTTGATGGAGAGTTAGACATTAATCAAATAATCATATAAATATGATTTGTACCCAACAAATGGGTACAAATGCTATGAATGCAGGATGCTAGGATAGCGTAAAGCAGGGGGTATCGAGTGGGAGGGGTGATGACATTTGAGTTGAGATCTGAAAGGTGGTAGAAGTTACTAGGCAAAGGGGCTGGGGCTTGGGGGTGGGGAGAGGGAGTGGACCAGAGAGTTCTGTGCTAGGGGAGCAGTATGTGCCACCACAGGAAGGAGTTAGTGCATTCACAGGCTGGAGCACACAGAGCAAAAGAGAATTGAGCCTAGGAGGTGACAGGGGCCTGCGGGACTACCTGGAAGATGGTAGCCTTGATCCTAAAAGCATTGAGAAGGCCCTGTAAGAGAGTGACACGATCAGATTTGCATTTGGATGATCACTCTGCTTGCTTGTAGGAAGTAGTGGGTGTAATAGTCTCCTGCAGTCTAGAAAGATGATGGAGGCTTGGTCCTGAGATCGGCAGTGGAGATAAGGGGGACAGGTGTGAGATGTATTTTAGACATGGAATGGGCAGATTTTGATGGGGTAGGTGAGGACAGAGGAGGAATCAAAGATGGTGGCCGGGTGTCCACCTTGCAGAAGTGGGATATGGGTGCCTTCGCTGAGATGGGAACCTAGGCAGAAGAGGAGAGGTGGAGGCAAGCTCTTGGGTTCCTGTTCAGATGGGTGGCATTTCGCGTTCTGAAATAGCAGAGGAGTCACCTTGTCTAAAGTTATTTGTGGCTGTGATGTCTCCAGTGGGAGCTGGGCTCTGGAGGGCTGGGGCCTGGCTGAGGGCATCCAGTCCAGCCCTAGGTCTGAGTGGGGCCTCTGGCGTGTTGGCCAAGTGAATGATGCTAAGTGCAACCCAGAGAATCTCCTTCACTCCAAGAGAGCCTCTTAAGTGGGAACCATGAAGAGGGTGAGCAGTTGGGCTGAGGAGGATTCGGTCAGTCTGGGCAGGAAAAGCCCCAGAGGGCTGAGCCTCCTCCCGGTGATGGTAACTCCTGGGCTGCCGGCAGACGTACATCCTTCAGCCAAGCCCGGGACCGGAGGCCTGACACGATGCGGGCTGGAGCCTTCTGGGGAGGCTGGGGCCACGTCCCGAGAGTCCGAGAGGGCCCTGTGACCCAGATGTCGCCTCCCCCTCGCCCGGGCCGCGCAGCGTGGGAGGAGGCGGCAGCTGCAGGCCGGGTGGAGGGCGGGCGACCGGCGCGCCCGGCCCGTGGGAAGCGGCGGCATCTGTTCTTTCCACGCTCGTTCCCAGCGGCTCCCTCTGAAACCTAACCCGCAGGCCCGGCCCCGCCGCCGCCGCCCGTGCCCTCGCCCGCCCCGCCCGGGGGATCGGGTTGCAGGAGCGGGGCGGCCGGGCTGCGGTTCCCCCGACGGCCGCGGCAGCAGCGAGGGCGAGGGGCGAGGGGCCGGAGGCAAGGCCGAGAGGGTCAGGTCGGGGCGAGAGCCAAGCCCCCCCCATCCATGGCCCCAGCCGCCGGCGACTCTGGGGCAGGAAGCTCTGTGCAGGGGAGGACTTGGCCCGGGGAGAAATGAGCCCCCGGGGAGAAGGGGAGAGAAGGCGTCCCCACCCACGCCTGCCCTGCGCCTCTTCCCAGCCTGGGAGACCTCGGCCGCCTGGGAGGGGTCTGTGCCCGCCCACAGCCGGCCTCCGAGGTCAGCCCAGGCCAGGGAGACGGTCCTCTGAAAAATCAGTCTTTCTTTTCCTCTCCAGCCAGATGGCCCGGCCGCTGTCCACCCCCAGCCCTTCACAAATGCAAGCCAGGAAGAAACGCAGAGGGGTGAGTGTGTATCTCAGCAGAGCTGTCCGACAAATGTTTGCCCTGAGTTCCCAGGGGCCTGGCGCAGAGAACCCTGGTCAGAAACACCACCGGGAAGTGACCCTGCCTGGGTTCAAGTCCCAGCTTTGCCAGTAGCTAGCTGGGTGACTTTGTGCAAGCCACTTAATCTCTGTGTGCCTCGTTTTTTTCATCTGTGTAACTGAAATAATGATGGTACCTACCTCAAAGGGTTGTTTTGAAGTGAATTAAAGTAATGCACTCAGAACAGAACCTGACGCACAATTAGCCACTATCATTTATTCCAGCCTCCCCCTGCTTCTCTCTGAGCCCAAAACTTTCCTTCCCTCTTAGTGTGCTGAGGGGTAGGGAAGGGGGACAGAAGAAGGAAGAGCCCGTCCTTGCTCTTGGCCCTACTTTTCCCCCAGGATGCAGCTGTGCTTCTGCCCTGGGAGTCCAGAGACCGGAATGTGGCAGAGACCAGCCCTGCCACTCACTAACCAAAAGGCCTTAAGCAGTCACACCCACCCAGCCCTCGTTCTCTTTATCGGTAAAATGGGTGTTGTCATTTCTGTCCTGCTATCAGTATTCCGCTGCCAGTATTGTGAGATGAGAGTGAGCTTGTGGGAATGAAAGGCCTTCCCAGCTGGAGAGAGCAATGCCTGGGACTCCTCAGACCTCATGACCCAGCACCTCAAGGGGTCTCCCTGGCCCAGGAGGGGCCTCCAGGACCTGCTGCAGTGCTCTGGCTGGTGTTCCTGTTCTAATTGGTTGGTGCCCTGCTGTATCAGTGGTTAAACATTTTGGATACCACGCCTTAGATCAAGACAAGAGATCTGAGTTCTAGTCCCAGCCTTGCACTTCCTTGCTGTGTGACCTTAAGCAAATCCTACCCCTCTCTGAGCCTCGTTTTCCTCTTCCATAATATAAGAATGGATTTATCTCCCTGACAGAAATATTGTGACACAACATATGAGTCAGTGCCTGTCGAGGCGTGTTGGAAACCGTGATGAAGTGCCTACTTGGTTTTTGTTTGTTTGTTTGTTTCATCATTGTTTTTTAGATCATAGAGAAACGGCGCCGGGACCGCATCAACAGCAGCCTTTCTGAACTGCGGCGCTTGGTCCCCACTGCCTTTGAGAAGCAGGTATGTGACATTGCCGAATGTGCTAGAGGAAATGCTGTGCGGGTGGCAGATAAGGTTCACTTCTCACGGCATCTCTTATCGATTGGTGGCAGCTGCCTGAAGTGCTGTGATATCATTTACTGATATCTGTTGATGGCCAAGAATAAGGGGGATGGAAATTCATATTTACTGAGGTGTCGCAGGGGTTGTGGCTTTATGTCCATTATCTGGTTGCACTGAATGCTCAGAATGATCCTGAAGGGTAGGGATTATTATGCACATTGCACAGGTAAGGAAACTGAAGCACAGAGAGGTGAAGTAACTTATACCAGATCACACAGCTAGTAAGTAGCAGAGCGGAACTGGACACAGACTGTGTGATCCTAAAGTGCCCTATCCCTCTGCACTACTGACATTTCCAGAACTATCTGAAAGTAGAACAGGCCGCTTGGGGAGTGAAGTCTCTGTCATTGAACATGCTGGGGTGGAGGGACTCCAGTGGAGAGTCAGACAGTTGAATCAATCAGACAACCTCAAAGATTCTCACCGTGTGCGCCAAGGCATGGTCATAGGTCCTGTGTCTTCCTTTCTGCTGGGGAGAACAAGTCAGTCATTCCACAGACATTCACTGAAACCTTCACAAGTCCAGCCATGAACTAGACCTGGTACCTACCTTCAAGGGACTCACATGGAGAGTCCGACCCTCAGGTTTCATCTGGGAGACCAGGTGATGCTGGAGGCTTCGGAAACACTCCTCAAGAGAGAGAATGGAGGAAGAGCAGATGCTTTGGAATAAGACTGAGCCCGATCTTGGGTGTGTGTGGCGAGTGTGAAGTTGGATTCCCAGTAAAGCTGGTCTAGGAGGCAGGTGAGGATGCAGGAGTGACATTCTGGTGATGGTGCCTGAAGCCATGGAGGTAGAGGGGACCCTCTGAGGAGAGCGAGAAGAAAGTGAGCCATCACCCACTGGGAACACCACCGTTTTAAGAGACAGAGCAAGAAAGCAGGGGAGGGGGGCTTTCAGGAAGGATGGTCAGCAGTGTGGTGGACAGGTGGGCTAAAATGAGAACTGAAGAGAATGGGTTAGATTTGGTGGGCTTGGCTAAAGCAGAAGCCCGATCGCAGGCAGTGGTGGAGTGGGGGGAGGAGGAGAAAACTGAGGTCGTGAGTGCTGATGACGCCATGCTGGGGACGAGGGCGACAGAGGTCAGCTGAAGGCCGCCACTCTTCTGTCTTCTGTACACACAGGGCTCCTCCAAGCTGGAGAAAGCCGAGGTCCTGCAGATGACGGTAGATCACTTGAAAATGCTCCACGCCACTGGCGGGACAGGTACTGATGCTCTACTTTCCTGGAACCATTCCTGCAGCCAATATTTGGGGGCTGGGCCCTGGGGATACTTTGGTGAGCAAAGTAGATGTGGTCCCTGACCTCATGGAGCTCACAGTTCACAGAGGGGCTGAAGCAGATCCAGGTGGAACGTTCGCAAAGCTTGTCTTTCTTCTTTTGGCATTGCCCTCTCGGCTTTTATTGTCTCCATGTGTCCTAGCCCTTTCCTCAACTCCACTCCTTCCAGCCTTGAACCTTGGAGGAGCTCTTCTACAACAGATTACTGATCCCCCTGCCCCCAGGGCCTCGTTAAGCATCAGCCTGAATGAGCTTGTTCTCACTGTGATCCCAGTGGGAGAGACAGGCCTGAGATTTTTCGCTACAGCACTTCGCTAGTGTGCCAACCCACCGGTCTAGGCTTCTGAGCTCTTGTGTCCTTGGCAGTGCTGGGGGGATATGTCACGCTCACTGCTGAAGATCAGTCGTGGGATTTTAGTAGGATGCGAATGTTAACGCATTCTGTTATTTTGAGCTTGTCCACTACAAAAAAGTCACGGAATTGTGGCTTTTAAAAGACTTCTGGACAGATGGAAATTCTGTGTGCCTGAAGCCGCTCTGTGTGTTTCAGTAATTTCACCATTGGGAAACCTTGAAAGCTCCACTGACCTTGGCTCCAAAGCCTTAAGTCTTGAAGCCTTAACTTGCTACCCCCTCAAGGGGATGGTTGCATGTTAAGCAGCCCAGCCTGGTGCCTCTCAAGCCTCGGCGGGCAGCAGTGTCATGTAGGGGCTGACAGCGTCGTGGGTCACAGCCCAGAGATCCCGAGGCAGTAAGTCTGGATTGGAGTTTAGGAATCTGCCAGTTTAGCAGACACGCCTGATGATCCTGCTGCAGGTGGTCACTTGGAGAACTTGTGCCAGAGGAATGCACAGCCAACGGTGGAAACTGTCTCTAATCAACCAGTGGGGGAGGAATTTCAAGCCACATTTGTATTTATCCAATTAAAAGAAAACTAGTGACTAATATTTAGGCAGCATTTTATAGTTTTCCAAATGCTTTCTCTAACGTTATCTCATTTGATTCTCACAAGAACCTCGAGGGTGGGTGTTGCTATCCTCACTGTTTTCTGGCTAAGGGCTGATGGGAAGACAGAGAATTGGCACGGAGCACTGGCTTTGTATGTGAACACTGAGTTTACTACTTACTAGCTTTAGGACCTTGGACAAATGATTTAAGCTCTTTATTCCTCAGTTTCCTTATCTCTAAAATGAGAATAATGCTAGGGGTTTTTTAAATATAAATTTATTTATGGCTGCGTTGGGTCTTCGTTGCTGCGCACGGGCTTTCTCTAGCTGCGGAGAGCGGGAACTGCTCTTCGTTGCAGTGTGCGGGCTTCTCATTGCAGTGGCTTCTCTTATTGTGGAGCACTGGCTCTAGGCATGCGGGCTTCAGTAGTTGTGGCACGCGGGCTCAGTAGTTGTGGCTCGCGGGCTCTAGAGCGCAGGCTCAGTAGTTGTGGTGCATGGGCTTAGTTGCTCTGTGGCATGTGGGATCTTCCTGGACCAGGGCTCAAACCCATGTCCCCTGCATTGGCAGGAGGATTCTTATGGGGATTCACTTCCCCATAATGGTTATAATGATAGGTTTTTATGAGGTTTAAATTAGCTAATGCAAATTAAGTGCTTAGGAAGAACTCAGCAAATGTCAGTGAAAAAAGAACAGTGAACAGAGAAAGGTGATGGGATTTGCTCAAAGTTGCACAACTAAGTAGACAGCAGAGCCAGGTCTCACCGCCTAGGAGGCCTGGCTCCAAACATCATCTCCTGCCAAGCTGTTCCTCTGTGGGGACCTCAGCCGTGAACCAGGGACCCAATATTTGCTACCATGATCATGAAGCCAGTGCTCACTGGGGCTGTTCTGTCTTTGCCCAGAAGGTGGTCGAGAGACGGGCAGGTGTGGAGAAGCTGTGAGAATGTGAATACTTCTGCAGGCAGTCCCCCTGGTCATCCCACACTGAAGCCAAACCAAAGACAGGGTCCCTGGCCTGAGGGCAGCAGCTGAGGACCAGAGTGGGGTCCTGCTTTCTAGACTGCCCTTTGGGCTGGGGAACAAACTCCAATGCTTATGGGGGCCAAACCAGTCATATAAATGATAGCTAACTTTTCATTTGTTAAGCATTTCTGTGCACCATTTCATTTCGCACCCCCCCCCCATCTGTACATGGCAGGGCCTGTTAATATACCCATTTCACAGCTAAGGAAATCAAGGCACGGAGAGATTGAGACTTGTCCATAGTCAGGGCGCTAGTTAAGTCCATGGTCAAGCAGCTGGCCCCCAAAGACCTCATACTTCATTGCTACCCTATGTTCTCCTCTCCAAGGAGTCTCCCAGCTCTGATGGCTGCTGCCACCACCTCCCAGCGTCTGCCCCCATCAACAGGCAGGGTTGTTCTACACCTCCACGTGCACAGCGCTTTCACATCTGGCAGGTGTCTATTTAAATGAAGTCATCTGGGCCGCAGATTTCCTTCTTTGGGTTAATCATGAATGGTGATGAAGATAACACTTTACATTTTATAACGCTTCACAGTTTAGTGAACTCATTTGATCCGCACAGTCCACTCGCTCTACCCCAGTAGGGATGATTATTCCCACTTTAAGATGGTGAGACTGGGGCTCAGAGAGGTGAGGTGACGTGCCCAAGGTCACCCAGGGGGTGAGTGGGGAAAGCAGGTCCAGAGCTCAGTGCTGACCCCAGGCTCAGTGCTTGTCTCCTGCCTGGCATGCCCTCATCGTGCCTCACTTTGCAGGATTCTTTGATGCTCGAGCCCTGGCAGTCGACTTCCGGAGCATCGGTTTTCGGGAGTGCCTTACCGAGGTCGTCAGGTACCTGGGGGTCCTGGAAGGGCCCAGCAGCCGTGCAGACCCGGTGCGGATTCGCCTTCTCTCCCACCTCAACAGCTATGCAGCCGAGATGGAACCTTCACCCACGCCCGCTGGGCCCCTGGCCTTTCCTGCCTGGCCCTGGTCCTTCTTCCATAGCTGTCCAGGGCTATCTGCCCCGAGCAGCCAGCTCGCCATCCTAGGAAGAGTGCCCGGCCCCATCCTCCCCGGCACCTCCTCTCTGGCTTACCCCATCCCGGCCTTCAGAACCAGTCCCTTGCGCAGAGCCACTGGCACCATCCTGCCAGCCCGGAGGAATTTGCTGCCCAGTCGAGGGGCATCTTCTACCCGGAGGGCCCGCCCCCCCGAGAGGCCAGCCGCGCCCCTGCCCCCCAGTGGCAGGGCTGCCAGGAGCAGCCACATGGCACCCCTCCTGCGATCCTCTTCCCCCGCCCCTCCTGGCATTGTGGGGTCTCCTGCTTATGTGGCTGTTCCCGGGTCTTCCCAGGGGGCAGCTGGGAGGCCAGCAGGAGCTGTGCTCTGCCACTCCTGGGTCTCTGAAATCACTGAAGTCGGGGCTTTCTGAGCTGGCTTTGCCCCCAGGAATGAGGAGAGTTCTTTTTCCAGGAGCTCTAAAGATGGCGTTGCCTTTTCTGCTCTGTTTTCCGGACTGGTTCATATATGAAGGTGTCTTCTTCACCCAGCAGAGGCCCCCTTCTCCTTTGGCCCCTCTCCCCTCCTCACTGCTTGTCCCAGCTTCTCCTGGGGCTGTTCTGATCTCAGAAGCTTGGTCTCATGTTTTCCCTGGAGAGATGAGTCCCGGGAGAGCCCCCCAAGAGCTGTACCCAGACCCCTCTCCTGCCCCAGGACACATGGGCAGTAGGCATTAATCTCAGGTTGGGGAACAACGCTTTAACCTAAAAGGCACAATGACCTAAGACACGCTGCTCCCCTAGAGATCAGACCCCAGCCAAGAGCAGTGACTGCCTGGCTGCAGCCTTCCCAGGCCCCCAGGGGTCGGAACATAGTGTCTGTCTCACTTCCTGAGACAGTAACCACACAGGGGCCACAAAGAGGTCTCCTGGGAACCCTGTCTGCCCTAGCCCACCTGTCTCCCGCCCACTGCAGTGAACCCAGAACAGACCTGCTGTCCACCACGGCCAAGGCTGGGGACTGGGAGCCCAGCAGGGCCCGTTCCTGCCCTCTTGCCAGCTGCCGACACCTACCCTCCAGCTGACCAGCAGTTCCCTGCACACAGCTGGGAGGTCTCTGGGCTCCGTGACAGGGTGTACTCACCACCAGGCCTCGGACGGCGTCCCCAGACAGGAGCCAGGCTTGAGCCACAGAGAACCCAGCTCCCTGCCTACCACACGGTCACCGTCCTCCAGGCCTGTGGTCCCGTCAGATGCACAGTGCGGAGGCCGTGTTCCCACGTGATGGCGCCCCGAGAGGAATCCTCTTGGGATTCAGCACCAGACGTTTGTGCTGCCTGTTTTGCATCCGACTCACGGGGCCCAGACTGCTGGGACCGCCAAGGGCTGTCAGGCTGGACGAAAATAACTGCGAGGAGGGGCGAGAGGAAGGACAGTCAGAGGCGGCTCAGCCCTTCAAGGTCACACAGTGGGTCGAGGGCCTGAGATCCTGTTCACCCGGGATTCCACGCGGCTGGCTCTGCTCAAAGGCCATGCATGGCGTTACCCAGCTTCGGCCCAGGTCACTTTCCCTCTAACAGAGGGAACTAATGGCCCAGAGACCTTTCCCAGTGGAGCAGCAGGAACTGGACAAGACAGGGGCAGACCAGAAGCGACACACAGCCGGCCCAGTGCTGCCAGATGGTTGTTAAAATGTAGAAACACTTCTGTGCTCACTGACAAACCTGCTTTCCCTGAGTGTTCCCACCACATGGCTTTTCTCCCAGGACCCCGTGCTGGTTAATGCCCGGCCGACCCAAGGCCGTGGGGCCCTCCAGCTGGCAAGTCGATGGTGCTTATTCTGCACTGGTTATTAAATGCTTCTGATGTCACCCCTGGAAGAGTCTCCCACTCTCGTCCTTTGATGGAGCTACCCTCCCCAGAGGCTGAATTGAGGAGACTCCATGAGCCCAAAAAGTAATGTCTGCAAAAACCCTGGGGAAAAAGGGCCCTTTCAGAGAAGTGGGTAGGAGGGCAGAGATCATTTAAATGACCCAGAAAGCTCTTTTGAGAAGGCAAATTCCTCAAGGAGGGATAAAGAACTAAAGTCATTCTTTTACTCCTCAGTGTGAGGTCGTTGGATCAGATATTGCTCTCCTCCTGGACCCATCTGCGTGTCCAGCAGGGAGGAGGTGTCATTTCAGGGAGTGGGTAACTGGCCAGGAGTGCCCCTGAGGCAGACATAGATAGAGGGAAATAGCGAGGGAAGGCAGTCAGCAGGCTCCCAGGATTTGGGAGGGCGGGCAGAGGGAGGTGGCAGAAGGCAAAGACCAACTTCACTGTTTTCACAAGGGGCGGGAAGAACGGCGCGCCCCACCCCTCCCCCTCCTCCCCTGCACTCTCCCCCTCCTCCCTTGCACTCTCCCCTCCCCCTCCTCCCCTGCACTCTCCCCTCCCCCTCCTCCCCTGCACTCTCCCGCTCCTCCCCTGCACTCTCCCCTCCCCCTCCTCCCCTGCACTCTCCCCTCCCCTCCTCCCCTGCACTCTCCCCCTCCCCCTCCTCCCCTGCACTTTCCCCTCCCCCTGCTCCCCTGCACTCTCCTCCTCCCTGGCCACTGCAGGTGGTGGCTCACTGCTCCCAAGATACCAGGGCAGTTTTCCAGTCCTGCAGTTTGACCACTCCCTAGCCCAAGAATCCAACATTTACTCATGGTGGGACGGTGGGAAACACATTTTCATATTTCAAATACCCAACTCCAAAAGAACCAGGTGACACCATTGAATGAGGTGGAAATGGCCCAGCACTTTGAGCATCTTAGTTGCTCTTAGGTTCATTCTCCCTGAGAGATTGTGTGGGGAAAGGTGACTGTGTGTATTGGTTTCTGTGGTTGAGAACTCATGTTTGTTTATATTCCCAAGCCTTTCTGGTGCCCCCGACTCCCACCCCATCACTGGGGTTGTCGCAGACATTCAATAAAGTTTTTTTTTTTCTTTAGCTCTTCTGGAAACCTCTGCAAGGTTCTACTTCTTAAATATCTCTGGAGTCCATCTACTTCTCTCTGATCCCACAGCCTTCACCCTGGTCTGGCCACATCACTTCTCCCCAGATCACTGCCCTCCAAAAGGTTGCTTTGCTTCCTTCCTGCTTTGCCAGTCAGTTCTCAACACAACCAGAGAGAGCTTTAAACACGCAAACCGTATCATATCAACTCTGGTTTAAAATCCTTACCCTATTACCCTATTATTCTAAGGATAAAATCCAAGCTCTTCCTCATCTGGTCGCAAACTCACTTCCAGCTCTTTTCTTGCCAATCCCAATCTTGTTCCCTGTGCTTCTGCCGCCCTGGCCTTCCTTCATTTCTTCCACATTCCAACCTCATTCCCACCTCCAGGACTTTGCACATGCTGTGCCCTTTGCCCAGAATGCTCTTCCTCTGCCCTTTGCAGGCTGAGCTCTTCATGCCCTCAGGCCTTGGCATAAATGCCACCTCCTCAGAGAGGCCTTCCCTGACTACTGGGCTTGAATCCATCTCAACGTCCTCTATCTTTTTGTTGTTGTTCTGGTATGGAAATGACCATTGCACGTCCATTTGTGTATTTACTTGCTGGTTGCTCCCCCACCAGCACGTAAGCTCCGTGAGGCCAGGGACCATGCCTGGTTTGCACTCCACCCTGTATCCAGTGCCAGCCATGGTACCTGGCTCAAGGTCAGGGTTCAATATATATTTGTTGAATAAATGAACTGGGGGAGGTGAGGAATCTTCTAGACTCCTGTTGTTGGATGGTACACGCTCCTCTAGGGGTGAATCTCCTGCTGGCCAACTTTGGGGGGGGCTGGAGAGCAAAGTGAGAGCCAGGGCCAGGGGCCTGGAAGTCCTGGCAGATGGTGAAGGGATTCTGGCCAAAGAAAAGCACGAGCGTGCTTGCTCTGGAGCGCATGCTGACAGCTGAGAACGGGCGGGCCGTCCCTGCCAGAAGGTCTTGTTCTCCACTCTTGGCCCAGCTCTCCCCCATGGATTTGGCTTGCAACAAACCCAGGCAACCTTCGCAGAGGTCTGCTCCGTGCCAGGCCAGGTATGGCAGAGCCAGAGGTGACGAGGACTCTGTCCCCCTGAGGGGGTGCACCCTCTGTCTAAGTGACAGTTGGGTGGGATGAGAGTGGAGAGAGAGGTCTGTTGAGAAGGCTGAGGGGTATCAGCCTCTGTCTAGGGGGGTCATGGGGGAAGAGAGTGCTGGAAGGAAGCCTTCCCGGAGGAGGATGAAGGGAGGCGTTCTAACCGCGGTGGGGGGGACGTCGTCAAGGGCAGCTCTGGAAGTTGGCCTGAGGTGAGCACTGGCCTTCAGTGGCAGAGCGAAAGGCAGGCTAGTCTGGGCACTGAAGCCAGACTTCCTGGGTTGAGGCCCCATCTCTGTTCACTTATCAGGGCTGAGGCCTTGGGCGAGTTACTTAACACCCCTGAACCTCAACCTTCTCATCTTTAGAACAGGGAGGATGCCATAATAGCTACTGTTAACTGAGCACTAACTACATACCAGACACTGTGCTGAATGCGTTTCTTAGAATGTCCCCATTTTACAATAAGGAAACTGGGCCAAGACATATTCTCCTAAAGTTAGGTGACAGGTGAATGGGATAGTGCATATAAAGCCCTTGGTACAATGCCTGAGTCAAGTGAAACACTCAGTCCATTTCAGCCATTAGTGTCATTAATGGAAAGAGGCTGCATCCAAGTTGTGGGTGCCGTGCAGAGTTTAGACTCCAGCCTGTAGGCAGTGAGCGCCATGGAAAGCGTTGCCAGGTGAATGCCAAGGTTAGACCTTGTTTAGGAAACTCCTGTTTGGGGTGGTGTGGACGACAGGGAGGAGAGTATTCGGACTCAGTGCCACCTATTCACTGGAAACACCTAGATGCTTTGGAGACATATCAGTGTCCAGGCCCTAGAGGTGATGATTGAACTCACCTGCAGGGGGGCTCAGGCCCCATAAGGAAGTGTGAAGAATCAGGATTTCTTTCCCAGTCAAGGTGAATTTCAGTCCATGAGTGAGCTGGACGCCAGCTTATGAGCCTGCAGAGGCTGCTGGTTTCTGAGAAGTGAAGCAGAACTTTATTTCCACAAGGGCATGTCTGTCCTCCAGCCCCATCCTGGTCTTGGGCCTATAGTAGATACTTAAGAACCTTTATGTGTTGAAAGCTTTAGGAACTTGTGCAGTTGGCCCTATGTGTTTGTGGCTTCCGTATCCACAGATTCAACCAACCACGGATCAAAAACAATTTTTTTTAATTCCAGTAACTTCCAAAAGGCAAAACTTGAATTTTCCCCAGCCAGCAACTATTTACATAGCACTTACATTGTATTAGGTATTATAAGTAATCTAGAGATGATTTAAAGCACACAGAAGGATGCGGGAAGGTTATGTGCGACTATGACACCATTTTATATAAGGGACTTGAGCATTTATGGATTTTGGTATCTACGGGAGGTCCTGGAACCGATCCCCATGGTTATTGAGGGATGATTGTAATTCATTCAAGAGTCACTGAATATCTTATGACTTCGTGGAAAACTCAAGACATTAGCTTCCTTCCCTCCTTTCTGTGGAAAGAGGGCAGGAAAAATCAGGTCTGGATATCACCCGATCTCATTAGTAGCAGCAAACATTTTCAAGCCCTTGACCTACATTATCTCATATAATCATATGAGATGATATATATTTCATATAATGGTAGGTTCTGTTATCCCCGTTTTACAGAAGAAGAAATTGATACTCAATTTGTTGGTGAAAGCGCCCAGAGTTCGTGACGCTAGTGAATGTCCTAGGCAAAATTAAAACCTAGGTCTCTCTGATTCCATCTTAACCAATACAGTACACGGCTTCCTTTCCCAGCTGCCTCTTGTAATACAAACCCGAAGCCATTCAGTGACAGGTCATACAGGGCTGGTGGACTGGACTCTCATGTTAACCTGGGAAGCCTTCAGCTTGGCCATGTTCTTCTCCCCTGTGCTAGTCAGAGTAAAGATCAGCTGCTGTAACAAAGAGGCCCAACAATAACTCAGTGGGTGAAGGAAATAGAATTTTATTTATCTCTCATCTGACTGCCTGGTGTACATTCCAGGTCAGCCAGAAGCTCTAATCAATGCAGACATTCCAGATTCCTTCCGTCATGATTCCCTGCCATTCCCCAGAACATTGTCCCTGCACCATTAAGCTAGGTCTCCATGGATTCAAGCAGGGAGGAAGGGAAAGAGGACTTGGTGGAGACATGGCCACAGACTTAAAGCCTAGGCCCGAAGTAGCACATATACGTCCAGTCCATCCAGATTCCCCTGGTGAGATCTTTGATGAGTGGCCACATCAAACTGCAAAAGAGGCTGGGAAATGCATTTCTGCCCTGTTCTCTGAAATGAGTGTGAATGGGTATCGGTAGATAGTCTCTATCACTTCACTCTTGCCTCCCAGCCTGGGAGGTTGAGAGGAATGTGGGAATCAGAGTCATCAGTAGCTACCACCCGGCGTGTGTGTGTGTGTGTGTGTGTGTGTGTGTGTGTACATGATCTGGGGGGCAATTTACTTTGAGTTGGAGGAACCAGGTATAGGGGCTCCACCTACCACTCTCTGATGCTACAGGGGTAGGTTGGATACTCCTGAATGGAGTTGTATCTACTGGACCAAGCTCCCTGGAGAATTCCCCCAGGGAACACAGTGTAAGAAAAGAGGGTTTGTCGCTCTAGGATGGCCAGTGAGTCCCAAGCTGACTGATGAACAGCATTACCGGAAGGGTTGTGTACCACATGGTGCCCAGAGGGCCTTTCCCCATCCCGGCTCCCACCTGGGGAGGCACTGACAGATGTTCACACCTTCCCTGACCCAGACGCTTGTCACGCTTTCTTGTCTTCCCAGCTGCCAGGGACACAGCCAGCCCAGGAGCTCTGGGCCTCACAGGGCTGTGGGTTCTGTTTGTCAAAGTTGAGCCTCTCATGAATAGGGCTGCTGAGATGCCCTTGTTAGTTACTTGACAGTGGCAGGTGAAAAGGGGCCAGGTGTTAGGTCTCCAAAGACAGACACCCAGCCTCCCTGGACTCTTTTTTTTTTGCTTCACCTAGGAGTGAAAAGAAGTAAGACTGTCATTCAGGCCATCAGTCTTAGAAAGCTGGCTGGCTGACCAATGCTGCCCAGAACCCGGGGGCCATTTAAATTCGGGTTTGACTCAGGCCTTTGGGCAAAATCTGGATTCCACTGCTCTGTTCAAGGAAGTCCAGTGTGGCAACACCCCATCCCGGGCACCCCAGATGTTCTGTTGGAGCCTCTGACAATTAACAAACCACTCGTTGCCTACAACTCCAGCAACCCTGAAAGGAACCAGTCAACAAGCACGAGAAGTGATGATGCT